ATTCTGATCATTATGACCCTTCCTGCAATCACTCACCTCTATCACCCCCCCCATTCCCAAGTCTTCTTCCCACATTTATTACTTTTGTTGTGGTTGTTGTTTGGAGACTCACTGAGTTTAACCAGTATCATCTGTGTGAACACAGTTAGAGCTATGCAATAGAGCCTGATGGGCTCCTTAGTGGGTACACAAATGAAGACAACGACTGTCCCGCCCCAGAATCCATCAGTAACCAATAGCTCAGCAGTGAGGGTAGGGCCCTTTGAGCTCCTCCCTGATGAAAAACAAGCTACCTTTCCTAAAATATTAGTGTTGACACAGAGGATGTAAGAACATAAATAGCTATTAATTAATCAGTGTGTTCCAGATATTTGTGTTTTGTTATGATTTGAATATCAACCGCCAATCACTTTTATAATAAGCAAAGTAATATATCCAGCCACTCTGGTAGATTAAAAAGTCATAAACATAAATGTAATGGAATATGCTTCATTTCCCTTGGAGTTTACTGAACTTTTTGCACAATTCCCTACAGGGTAAGAAAGATGAAAATCAAGCAGTCTTTGTGACACAGTATTAGTAATTCCCCAAAGAAATCACAAGGTCTTGTTTTTTTGTTTACCTTTGCTTTGAGTATGCAAATGTATCCCTTATCTGTGCTTTAGTTCTTTTCATCAACAGCCACCCCAGAAACCAGAAAAATTCTTGGTTATGAATTAAGTTTATCTTTTTTCATTAGAAAAGTCAAATACAGAATTTGAAATCAAAAAGGAGAGAAAGGAAATACAGACAGTAAATATATCTTAAATAAGAGAACCCATGTCAGATACAAATCTTTTGATCTGAGTGTGGTGGCTCCTGTCTCTAAACCCAGCCCTCAGGAGAGGGAAGCCTGAGGAGCAGTGAAAGGTCAAGGTCAACCAGGCTACAGAGTAGCCTGTGTCAAACACAGGAACAAATATCTTTTGAAAAATCTTATATAAACATTAAAAGCAAGAATAAGTATTATTGAAATGATGCATCCTACATGCTAGAGAAATGTTTAAAAATATGTAAAAATACACATTAAAAAACTATTTCTTGAAATATATTCACATCTTCCTTTATCTTACACATACAGAAAATGCAAATTAGTTTCATAATCTGCTATTTTTACCTTAATAACTATATATTGATTTATGTTATATCAACTTCAAGACAGAAAAATGTCAGATAAAATAAATGTAAAAATAAAATAGATAATATTCTTACCGACACACAGGACCATATTTCTCAACCACACAAATTCCACCATTTCTACAATAATTTATGGGACACTCTGAAAAAGAAGCATCACAAAGGCCAACAGTTAATTATAAATAATATTATGTGGGAGGAGGCTGCATACTGTTAATGTATTGAACCTAATCTCCGAGGATAACTAACTTCTCAGTTGCTAAGGTCTACATACCTGTGCCCACTCCTCACTCCCAATTAGGTCAGCAGCCCCTGTCTTGCTTTGGGGATAAATCACTCATGCATATGTCTCCATGTCTGTGACAGGTGCCAAAGCGTTAAGTTTGTCCCTTCTACCCCAGGCACTGCTATTTCATTGCCTGGCCACCCCTGAGTTCATGTTTAGAATGATCATATATTTTCAAAGATGGTGTACTGACAGGTTAAATATTTCAAAATATTTGAGCTGAGTATTTTCACATAGCTTCTATGGTAGAAGCTGTTCATGCTTTTAGCTCGCGGGGGTGCACGCATCGACCCTGACTCCTTATATCTTCACTCCCTAGTCCTGACGCACTAAGGCTGGCCAAGGATTTGGTTTACTCAAGGCCCACCTTGCTTGTCTTGTCTTTTTTTAAACACATCTGTTTTGTCAGGATACCATTCCATCCTTTTTGGCTATTATAACTCTAATACGTAATAGAAAGCCTCATCATCTTGAAGTTTTAATACAACAAATTTATCCTGAGCACCTATTAAATGCCTGACACCGAGCTAGGCCCTGGAAACATGATCATTAATAATACAGGCAGCTTAACATGCTTGGTGAGGCACTAGGTCCTGGAGCCAGCTGCCTGAGTTGGAATCTCAGCTCAACTAATTAGCTGTGTAATACAGGGGAAGGTCGTTAACTTTGATGTGTGCATTTCCTCTCTGTTACACAGAACTAAAGAGTATCCATCTCATAGCAGTGCTGAGAATGCTAGAGAACACCTAATTCACAGTAAATCCTTAATAAATAAGGACTCCATAGGGTGTGTTGGGCATGGTCCCTGCTGTTCCTGACCTTCCAGGCTCACAGAGGATGCAAAACAAGTGAGTACGGCATTAAACACTGCACGGGCTGTCGTGTCTTGGGATGGATATACTCAAGCGATAGGAGCAGCAAGAACAACACTACAGTAAATTTGGGGGTAAGGCGATGCTTTGTGGATCAGAAGCAGTCATTTTTACTTGCCAGTGATATATTTGTGTGTGAAGGGAAGCCCAGCGCCCTCCAGGCTGAGAAATGAATTCAGTGTGTTTGAAGAACAGCGCAAATTCATTCTGGTTAGACATGTGATAACAGGAGGGCCAGAGATACACAGGCCCAGAGGGTATCCACTCATCCAGGTTAGGATTTTGAGAAGGGCCTGGTATGCTTCGGGCATCGGTTGAAATGGGCCAGGTCAACAAGAATGTCAAGACTGAAATGGAAGATCCAGTTAAAAGTATTTCATAGTAATTGTGGAAAAAATGATTGTTACCTAAATGAAAGGAGTAGGGCTGGGGCACAGGAGCGAGAGCTCTGTACATTTATTAGATATGCAGATGCTGTAGCTGAGAGTTTTGTGATCACTTGGAAGAACAGCAAGTGAAAACCAGAGCGAATACCGGAGGGAATACCAGTTTCTGGCTGGGACAATGGCTAGTTGGAGGCTTCATTCATTGGATGACTGATGATAGAGGAAAATTACAAAGGTACCAGGTTCACTAGGCCCATCTCTCCCAAAGCATATATAAAGCCTTAAGGACTTCTGAGAGGCACTCTCAGACCAGCCAGGCTACAAGAAGAGGCTCACACCAACTAAGCTACCTAGAAAGAACACTCTCCAACCTGCTGAGCTTTGTGGAGTTGTGCGATGAGCTCCAGGCTTCCTGCTTTTGTGAGCTGTCACCAGCACTGGAATGCATCTGTCTTTGAGGCAGGCCTGATGCTAGAAATAACCCCAATAAAACTCACTGCTTCACCAAGTTGGACTTTGATGGAATCCTTATTTTAATCTGTCATTAGTTTCTTATTTGGGGTTAGCAAATGTTTGTTCATGTCTAACCAAGAACAGTGTCACACAAGAGGGACACGGAAGAGAGGCATTCTAGGGCATCAGTACCTGCAGCTCTGGTCCCATGAGAAATATAGGGTAGAGAACTGGAGTTGAGCCTTCTCTTCATAGTCAGATATCATTATGTAGTAGGCTTGTCAAAATCCCTTTGCTGCCATTGTTATAGGTAACATGGAGTGACACTAACGCAGCCTTTAAGTAGTAAACTGAGCTTGGGGGAAGAGAGAGAGAGAGAGAGAGAGAGAGAGAGAGACAGAGAGAGACAGAGAGACAGAGAGAAAGAAGGGAGGGGGAGAATCATTTACTTGAGCTGATAAAAATGATTATCATGAAGAAAAAAAAAACAGAAATTTTATGGAGACTTTATGGGTTGAAGTAAATACTGGGGAAAAGGACAGCTTGGGAGAGACTGATGAGCCCATCACTGAGCATTCCCAAGGCGTGAGGAAAGACGGGAGCAGGGGCTCCGGGAAACGGTAGTCGGAATGCACTGCATATTAGATGTTAGATATTCAGTAACTAATTAGACATTCCGTATCTAATATGATCCTTTTTGGTTTTCAAAATTTTAACTATTTGTTTTCCCAGTAGTGTGTTTTCCATTTTGGCTTCCTTCAGTTTTATTTAACTACCAGACAGAGGGTACAGTCTTGAGAATGAGAGTAAAAGCCTTTCCTTTCTTATAGTAAGCACCTGCCTCTTTGAACAGAACAGATGTGAAATTTCCTTCAAAACCAAGAAATGCCGTGGTGGCACGGGCCTCTAACCCTTGCACTTAGGCATGGGGATCTCAGTGAGATCAAGGCCACCTGGTCTACATAGTAGGCTCCAGGCCAGTTGGGACTACAGGAAGAGCCTGTCTCAAAACAAGACACAAAACAAAACAAAACAAAACAAAAAAGACAAAACCAAACCAACCAAAACAAAAAAACAAAAGCCAAACCAGAAACAAGAAACAAAATAAAAAACTAGGAATGAGCTGTTCTGACAGAGACAGTCCACCAAGACACCAGACCGCAAACAGACAAACACAAGCAAACAGACACGAGCCTTTCATGTTTCTTTTTCCTTAAGTACAATTTCCATATTTTTTCTTATTATGTAACAACTCTTCTTTTTTAAAAATATTTTATTTATTATTTTTATTTTATGTGTATAAGTGTGTTGCCTGCATGTAAATGAGTGCACCCGTGTTGTGCAACGCCGCGGAGGTCAGAAGATGGCTTCGGATTCCCCTGGAACTGGAGTTAAGGCAGCTCGTAGCTGCCATGTGGGTGATTGGCATCGAACCAGGGTCTTCTGCAAGAGCAGTCAGTGCTCTTAACCATTGAGCCATCTCTCCAGCCCTAATTTCCATCTTCTTTAAGTAACAGTTTTCTACTACTGGAAATCCACTTAAGTGTGTGCTGCTGTCCTGTGTCAGAACACACATACATGTCACCTCACATTTCCTTCTGGGGTCATTAATGTTCATTCTGACCGCTAAGGGCAAAGCACAGCCTTGCTGCTTGTGAGCTCCAGCTGTGGGAATCACCATTTGCTTTGCTGCATAGTGGAGCACTGAGGAAAGATTGTGGCTCATGGATGGAACAAGCGGTGTATGCCAGTGGTGTGTGTGTGTGTGTGTGTGTGTGTGTGTGTGTGTGTGTGTGTGTGTGTGTAATTGGGTATATAGCAGGTATCCTTCTGAAAGCGCCATCTTACCATATTCTGTTTGTTATGGAATTTTGTTTTGTTTCATTTTGGGGACAAGGTCTCTCCTTGACCTGAAAGTCACCAACCAGGCATCTACACATCTCTGCCCTCCCAGAGCTTGGGTTACAAGTATGCCTCCATGCCAGGCTTATTTTAGAACACAGTTTCAGTGGATTAAACTCAGTTTTGCGCACTTTCAAGGCAATCACTTATCAACTGGGCCATTTCCCCAGTCTCCATGCTGATGGTTTTGAGGACAGATTTATAGATTTTTTTCTGTGAAAGTTTTATAGATTCATAATGGAAATTAAATGGAAAGACAGTGAGCAGAGTATTTTCATCTTTAGTCTTCTTAAAAGCAATTTTGAACACTGAGTAGGTGAATGAGCAAGGGGGCAGATATGGCTACTTGGGAACAAATGAGTCCAGTATTTGCAGTGGATGATATAAGAATTCCTGGGGCATATTGCAATGGCCACAAGTCTCGAGTTCTTTAGTGACAGTGACCTCTCACTGACTTGTAGCCCCAGAGTTGATTGTTAAGATCTCGTGTCTGGGGGCCAACACAACTCACAGTGATTACATAGATATGCCCTCTGTAGCGGAATTCACATTTCATTGCATTCCAGTGCATCACTTTGGACAAGGACGTCCACACATACAAGCACAGATATAACTTTTAACTGCAAATAAGCAGTTAGGCACCTACTTTTTTTTCCTTTGAATAAATACAGAAATTTTAAAAGTATCAGTTGCCACACTGGACGTCGGTGGGAAGATGGATAACCACACAAGCCCTGAGTTTTCCCCTGTGGCACCTGGCCCAGGGTACTTATGAAACATGTGGGTTTGGGATTTTATGTGCAAGTTCTTCATCTATAAAGTAAGCATATATGTAAGGCTCTTGGGAGGATGGAAGTGCATTAATTTGTCACACTTTTGTACTTGTGTGTTGTATATAAAATAGTAAATGAGTGTTCTCACTCTGCTCCACATTCATTAGAGGGGGAGGCAGCCTGGAAGGCTGGATGTCACTCCTGTCTCTTGCTTCTCCAGCTTCCCCTTGTCCTTCTTCCTTCATTGGTATAATCACCAATGCCAGTACACTTTCTGAAGGCCTCTGAGTCAGGAATGTCTAAAGAGCTTGGCGTAGTTACTTCACTTAGTCCATATAACATTATGTGGGATATTTACCACAACCCTCATTTTTCAGAGGAGGAAATGGAAGCTTCATGTGATTACCCATAACTTCCTTATGTTAATAGCAAAACCCAAATAAACTATAATTAAATCCTAGTCATCTAATTCCAAGACCTGTTAGTCTAAAAATGCCAAATGTTTTATTCCATTCAGTTTCAATAACATGGTGCCCTGTGTACTGTGAAGATAAGAACATATATGTACAATAATATCTGTACATAGTTTCAAGAGATGTAGGGATCCTAGAAGAACTTATAAAACATGCTTAGTCTCCAGAGAGTAGACATTGTTTTGTACGTCTTGTGTGTTTGTGTGTATGTGAGAGTGTGTGTGTGTGTTTGCATGCATGCTTGTGGAAGTTGTAGGAACAACTTCGTGTGTTATTGTTCAGGAGATACCATCCATCTTGCTTTTTGAGACAATTTCACTAGGATTCAGGAGTCACTAATATTTGCCTAAGATGGCTGGCCAGCAAGTCCCAGAGATCTACTATCTCTGCCTTCCCAGAACTAGGATTGTAAGCACACACCACCATGTCTGGCTCTATTTTTACACTGGTTCTGGGGATCCAAATGCAGGTCATCTTTCTTGCATGGCAAGCACTTTGCTGATTGAACTACATCCCTAAGCCCTCTTTTATATATCTTAAAATCCCAGCACAAGGTCCATAGGTGAGGTACCATGTCTCAGAGATGTGGAATGGTCATTGCCCAGGAAACTTTTGTGTTTTGATTTTATTTTAAACCCTCTGAAACTTTATTAAGCTATGTCATCATCATCATCATCATCATCATCATCATCATCATCACCATTACCATCATTACACATTACATAAATGATATATTTGTGATATTTTACTCTACAATTTTATAAGATGCCATTTTAAACTTTTTCCAATGGAAGATCGTCATAATTATAGTATTACTTTAGCATAAGCTTTATTAACCATTATCTTTGTAGATAACTCAGAAAAAAAGTACTTCTAGTTTAATTTTAGCTAGGTGAATTCTGGTCAACATTTTTCTCCTGTGGCATAAGTCACCAAAACTTGAAAATAATATAGGTTTTTATTGTGCTTAGGAACAGAAAAAATTCATTGAAATTTACATAAAGTGCCTGAATTTGATGTTCTTGTAATGACTTAAATCCTGAGGCGTGTGAGGCAGATGCTCACCATCTGCTATGAGACCACTGTGGGATTACTGGCCACTGCAAGAATCGGGCTCATCAAACTCTCAGGGAGGCTGACCTTACAGGAAGATAATGTTTGAAAATACAGAGAAATGCATGGTGTATGTTGCCAAACATGTACTATGAATCTGTCTTAAAGGCAACATTTGATTGATGAGCCCAAAGCATACAAAATGTAAATACAGAAGGCAACTATCACATGGATTTCCTTTCTGGTAACAGCCTCACCAGTTCTGTATGTCACTCTAACCAGGAGCTGTGTCAACATGACCTGCACTTTGTAAGTGAACTGTAAGTAAAGGGTGCTTGACTGTAATAGGCACAGTAACAAAAATGTGTTCTCTAGTATTAACTATAGAGTGTCTGTCACTCACTATGAGTGGCAAGTCTTTTCTTTTTCTGACCTTACTTTTAAAGGTTCATCACATCAGTGCAGACAATAAATCACAACACAGTATGATTTGTGCTCAGAAAGGGATGTCCTAAAAAAAGCCTCACCTTTATGTGGGCATAAGTAAAGTGTCAATAATCCCAAAGAATAGAATCTCATAGCTTTCTCACTCCATTTACTCATAACTTTATTTAGTGGCAGGTCTTACTATGTGCTCCAAACTGGGCTCTAGCCCACCATCTCCCTACTCCCAGCTCCCGAGTGAGGAGATTATAGACCTGAATCCCCACTCATCTTCACTCCTCACCCAGCTTCCTCCTTACTCCCTTTGGCTAGAGTAATGGCCACGTATCTGAGATCCAAACATGCTTAGTAAAGACTTAATGTGAAATTACATTGTTTTTGTATGTTGCCTTTGTGTATTTGGGGCGACAAGACCCCCTGTTTTCTTCGCCTCCTATTTTACTCATACAATTCGGTAGTGTGATAAATGAATCTTTTGGGGACTATGATTGGGTCATGCTTTTCTCACTTATTTCATAGCATCATTTGTGTCCTGACAGATAGAAAATATATTTTTCCATGATTTGACTTAAATAATTCCAATCAATTTAGGAAAATTATTAAATATATCTTTTATTACTGATTCATATTATCTTTTAGTTGTAACTGAATTATATCACCTCTGAACTATCTCTTGCATGAAATAAAAATTTACAGCAGTAATAGCCTGCAACATATCAGGGAATTTTATCACAGTTGTGACTCACCCAGGACCACTAATGAACACTACCAGCTCTTACACTCCTGAGCGTTCAAAGCTCAGAAGCATGGTCCAAAAGCAACCTAAGATTTAATATGTTTATTTAAATTTCATGACTAAATTATGTAACTACTCCTAAAGAAAAGAAGGAAAAAAGATGCAAGTTTTAAAAAATACTAAATTTAGATTTTAGGTTTGTTTATTACTGAACAGAGCAATTGTCAGAGATTATTAAATATTAATGACCTTAGATTATATTGTTTTAAATTATAATTGGTACTTTTTTTCCTTTGCGTGTATCTGTGTACGTGGTGTTTGCATTATATGTTAATGTACATGATCACGTATGTGTGCAGGTGCATGCATGTGTGTGTCTGTGCCTGCAGAAACCAGAGATCAACAATGGGTATCTTTCTTCACAGCTTTCCACTTAAATTTTTTATGTTATGTTATTTTTATTTTATGTGTATGTGTGTATTGCCTGCATGTAGGTGAGTGAGCCTGTGCCATGCAATCAATGCCTGTGGAGGACAGAAGAGGGCGTCAGATCCCCTGGAACTGGAGTTACTGGCAGTTAGCTGCCATGTGTGTGCTGGGGTTAGAGCCCAGTTCCTCTGCAAGAACAACCAGGGTTCTTAACTGCTGAGCCATCTCTCCAGCCCTCCACTTTAATTATTTTTTTTAACACAGGGTCTCTCATGAATCCTGGAGCTCGGTGAGTGGGCAATAGCAGCTGACCAGTGATTCCTAATGATCCTTCTTTCTCTGCCTCCCCAGGATTGCCTCCCCCACCACACCCACCTTTTTACATGAATTCTGAGGATCTGAACTCAGGTGCTCATGCCTGAACTACAATTACTTTGCTAATTGAGTAACATCTCTCACTTTTTACTTTTCATTGTTCTGTGAATATTGTATGAAATAAGCAAGAATCTATTCTTTGTTTATAAACATTTTTATAAACCTAGCACTTAATATCAACAATCTTCCTGCTCCAAAAGCAATAATAGAAATGTATGCCTGTTATTATTTAGAAAATCTGCTTTTAATATTTTAATATTTAGTATCACCTGTAAATTTAGTTAGTAGTTCACATGGCAAAGAAAATCTGAAATGAAGCAGAGTACCTGAACAGCTAGACTCATCAAGTCGGAAGTCCATGCAGTGGACCACACCATCACAGCGCTGGTGAGCTGGGATGCAGCTGTTTGATGAGGTACATGTCAGAGCTCCATTAGGACAGCTTTGATTGGCTGAAAAATGAAAAAGAACAATGATCAGGGTAGGCAGTATGTTTGTTTTTAATGCATTTCCCATAAAGAAATATTTATTGTAGAACCCTTTAAATTTTCCATATTATATTTTAGAAAATGGTTCTCTTTGAATAAATTTGAAATTAACTTGAAAATTTCAACAGAAGAAAAAAAGATTTTTTTGTCATGACTTTTTTGAGAAAGTAGATTTTTTGACTAAATAACTACTTCAGTTTATTTAAAAAATTACATATTCAATAGTAGGATAATAATCATTTGCCAAACATTCATTCTAATGGTCTCAATTTTACGCCACCAAATTGATTTTGCAGTCTTAGTCTTTATTGGAAGCTCAGTGTGCTACACGCGTTCCTCTACGGTGCTGGTAATATCATGATGGAAGCATAGTAGACCTTCCATAGACCCTTGCTAGGGGCCATAGGAGATTTTGACTGACTCCAAAGGCTAAGCATATGAAGAGGTTAGAGAGTCTATGCACCAGAAGACCTTGAAAATCTTGGGGGAAAAAAGTGTGTTTATTCAGCCTCATGTAGAACACTCACAAGTGGTAAAAAAGAAAAGCAGAAATTCATGTTGGTCTCAAAGAGAAAATTTTCTGTGGTTGAGAGGGCAGAATTCTAAAAGACAATCTTTTTGAAGAATAAGAAATGACAAAAAGAGACGAATTATAGACAAGTCTTTCAAAAAGTTGGCATTGGCATGAGATGTAGATAAAAGAATAGGCTTATTTGTTTGGAGTGCTTTGCACAAGTTTAAATGTTGTAAGAACTAGAATTCTGGGGTATTTACAGTTTATGTAGGAGAATCGATAGCAATTGATATTTGAAGGCCTTTACTCTAGCAAAAATAAACTTTCTTTCTATCAGAAGGTTTAGACAAACTTGTGGTGAGGTCAACATATGGAGTACTATCCTGCCATTGGATATGCAATTTTTCAATAGATTGAAGTGGCATTTATTTTACAAAAGATCTGCTTTCTCAAAAACTAATGGCAAAACAAGCATAGCTCCTGTTTGTGATACAGGGTTTTGCTATGTAGCCTAGGATAGCCTCAGACTATGACCCTCCTGCCTCAGCTTCCTGAATGCTGGAATTACAGGAAAGTGCCAACATGCCTGGCTTAATAGTAGTTATAATTAATTATATGGAATAACACAACAAAAGTAGGGGGATTATTCTTGATGATACTCTTAAAGTAACCCAAGATTTTGACCAGGTTTTATTGGTTAATATCTTGTACAGGTGGCCCACTGACATAATATGAATTGAAAATGCAGTGATAAGGAGCTGTTTATTAGAGAAACTGTATTCATAATGAAGTCAGAAATGTCGGTACCAATGGGAACTTTTGAATTTTCTGTAGACCAAAGAATGAGAATTTATGAATCAGTTACCTGAGGTTGGAGTAAAAAAAATGTGTTACGCAAGGGACCTCTGAGGAGGGAGGATGGAGAGGGGGTCTAGGTTTGTGGATGAATAGGAGGAAGAACTTCTAATTCTGCACAGACCATAGGATAACTAGGGATGACCACAATTATTTCAAAATAACTAACAGAGAAACACTTGAATGTTCTTAATACAAAGAAGTGACATATCTGGTGTGATGGATTTGCCAAATATCCTGATCTAATCATTACATGCTGTTTACCAGTGTTCATACGTCACACATTCATATGTATGTAGGGTTGCTAACTCTCAACTGAAAAGTAAAGAAGGAATTTTGGTATTTGGATAAGGGAAGCAATTCATCTGCATGTTCTTTTATCCAGTATGCTGAATGGCTGTAGATATTATCCACAGGCTAAACTCAGCCATATGCTGGGATAGAAGCTAAAGAAACTTTTTGAAATATCCCCATAGTTCAGGATCCCAGGGCCAAGAGAAAGAACAGAAGGTCAGGCATCAGGAGAAGCTGCATAAATGATCCATCAATGTTAGACAGAGCTGTGACAACAGACAGAAGCACCAGTAGTTGACCCACTTCTCACTAGTTGCTAACATGTCCCATGAAAGTTAATGTCATTTATGATGATATATCATGTATCATGTTCCTGTCAATGATTTATAATTCCGGTCAATGTTTTATAATTGGCCATTAGATGTTTCAACTATGATTTCAGTGTCCTTTAGAACTTTTCAGTGATAGTGTGGATTAGTTGTCTGAATTGGCAGGATTCTCTTAATAATAGTGTTCTGTTGATTCAACACTGGAATAATGGTAATTAATCCATCTTATAGCCGTCTTGTACGATTATGTGAAATTAATACGGTCAAGCACATAATCATACATAATAAATTATCATTCTTTCACCAGTTTCATTGAATATTAGATTCATTGAACAACAAACTGCTAAGATATTTCAAAATAAAAGTAGTAATTAGTTTTAATTAAAGGAGACAGTGCATATCTGTACTTCTCTGGGTTAGATTTGCAAGTTCTGTGAGTAGCTTCCTGTTTTTATTCTAATGGCCTGGGACTAAAATTACTCTGCTGTTAGGAAGACTGAGTGTCTTTCTTTCTCTCTGTTGCTCATACTAACCTTTCCTTCTACCAGTTTACCTGGCCCCTTACAGGGTTGAACCCAGAACTTCCTACGAGCTAGGGAAAAACTCTTCTACTGAGCTACATACCTAGATCCCCTTATGCATGTCTTATAATTCTCATGCAGCAATTGTGACCTATATAAGGATTTTTACTTTAGGAAAATTACTATAATTAACCATTAATGAATTATTTTTAAATAACATTTACCAAGCGAATTAGTTAGAGCCACAAACTGTTTGGCTATTTAGGCTTATTTTGGTAACAAAGAATATCTTTAAGATGAAGATAGATGGAAATAAGTCTGTCTGCAGACATTAAAACATGACATCTGGAAGAGAATATGGCAAAACATAGATATTGCTAACAGAAATATTTATAAGCCCCGATTTCCTATGAATTTTATAGTTTTATTTGAGCTAATTTTGAAATGTTTCTCTATTATTTGGGAACTAACAGGAGAGGAAATACAAAATCAAAGTCTGGCATCATTTTTCTATATTCAATATAATGTCCTTTGCTTTATGAATCTCAGTTACTATATGTGTTTGTGTTTGTATTATATATGTAATTAAATTCACAGTTTGTCACTTATTTCTAAAAGGACACTGGTGAATATTCATTAACTTCAATGTGACATCATATAAAAATCCACAGAAACAAAAATGCATGCACACTCACAAAAATAGTATGTGCATATATATACACATATAGATAAACATATAAGCATTCATACATATTCATTTTTACAAACACCTCTTCATCTTCTAAGAGTTGGGGAAATCTTGTATTTTCTAGTTTTCTTAGTTTGAAATATAATTTGTTTACAATTATATATTTTATAATGCTTTAATCCTTTGGAGCAATTCAGATCTCCCTTCTCCTTCCTGAGAGTTTAGTCATTCATGTTCATAGTATAATCTGAGCCTTACAATTTGGTTTATCTGAACAACCTCTTTATTCCACTAATGTATATTCATAGGTATATTCCCAATAAGATAAACAACTTTTCTTTGTAAAAATTAAAATCTAAACATATTTCAAAATTCCACTATTACTGTTGTCTTTTTCAGACATTCCATAGGAAAATAATTCTGTTTTATTTTTCTGAGATCCTTGCTACATAGTTCAGTCTGGCTGTGAATTCATCATCTTCCTGTCTAGAAAGCTCTGACTGTCCAATTCTGCCTTTGATGTATTCTTTTAGGAACATTAAGACTCCAAGAAGCAGGAATAGAAAACAAATGCAGATTGACATCACTGCATACAAGTGCTTTGGAACACTACCTAGTCTTTCTGAAGAAGCAGTACACTGGGTCATGGTTTAGTCTAGTCTCCTGTTTCCACACATATAACAATATTAGGCAAAAAGGCCATCACATAAAAGGGCTCAGAGACAAGACCAGTATCAACATTGGCAAGACTCTGTATCAGAGCACAGCCAAAAAACAAAGATCAGGATTGCTGGCCCCCATGCTCTGGAAGCAAGTAGAACAGATGCTAACCATATTTCACACAACAGCCTGAAACAAGGGCTTCCCATCCAGCCCTGGCTCATCACAACACGCTAAACCAGAGCTCACTGGTTACAGGAAGTCACACTCATATAGAGTCTGGAGAAGTTGGAAAGGAGAGGTAAGAAAAGGAGCATTCAATTGTAAGACTAAGAACCATGTTTCCTAACGCACCTAATTATAACTGATTAGGGGCGGGAGAGATGGCTGAGCAGTTAAGAACACTGGTTGTTCTTGCGGAAGACCCCGGTTCGAATCCCAGCACCCACATGGCAGCTAACAACTGTCAGTAACTCCAGTCCCA